TTATTTTATTTTTTTTAATTAATTTTTAAAACATTAAATTATAATTTTATAATAAAAAACTTTTATTATAAATAATAATATAAATAAATTATTTATTATTATTTAAAAAATTAATTAAATTTATTTTTTTTAATTTTAATTTTCTTTTTTTTTTTATTATATATATTATTTTAAAATAATGTTATTTATAAATTACTTTATTAATTTTTTTAAAGAAATTATTTTTTATAATAAATACATATATTTATTTATTAAAATTATTAATAAAATAACATAACCATTTTTTATTTTATTAATTTTATAAAACTTTATAAAAAATTAAAATTATTAAATATTTTTTATATATTTTTAAAATTGTTTAATTAATTTAATTTAATTAATATTAATTATATTAATATACGACCGTATTTTTAAAAATTATTATTAAAAAAATAATCTTTAAATAAAAAAAGTAATTTTTAAATAAATAAAGTAATTTTTAAATAATAACATATAATTTATATATAAAATTAAATAATTTAAAAATAATAATATGTATATTATATTTTTTAATAAATAATATTAGTTGTATAATATGTTTATTATTACCTGTATAATAAAATAAGGTATATATTAAATAATTTAAAATCGTTTTTCGCACTTTTTTTTAAATAACTTTACGAATCTTAATTTAAGTCTTATATAATTTATACCATAATTTATATAAGAAATTAACAAAAATTACGGTTTAAAGTATACGTAATTTAAATTAATATTAACTTAAATGCGGTTAAAAATATGAATTTTAATTATAATAATTATTATAAGCTTTACTTTAATGGCTTTTATCTTTTATAATTTTAATACTTTTTATCTTTAATAATTTTACGAATATAACTTTAAATAATTTAAAAAAAGGTATAAAAAGTAATTAATTAAATCGCTTAAATTATAAAAAAAACGCTTAATTTTTACCGATTTATTTTATAAAAATACGGTTGTTTTTATATAATAAGTTAAAATAAACTAATAAATATTAATAAAAAAGTCGCTTTATATATATAAATATTTACTTCTTTAATATTTCAGCCAATTTAAAGCCGAATCACGTACATTTTAAACCTTAATTTTTATCATTTTCTTACTTAAATTATGGTATAAATTATATATAAATCGGATTAAAATTCGTAAAGTTATTAAAGTAAACGTAAAAAAAGTAAAAAAAAAGTAAAATACGTACTTCGTTTTATTACACGGATAATAATAAGTATATTATACAATTAATGTTACTTTTTTTAATTAATATATTATATTTTATAATTATTATTTATATTATTATAATCTTTATAATAAAACGCATTTAATAATATTAAAATTATATAAATATAAAATATTTTTTTAAAAAAAATAAAAAAATATTATTAAATAATAAATTTTATATTATATAAAAGGTTTTAAAACTTTATATTAATAATTTAATAACCGTTTAATATATTAAATTTAACGTATTTAAATATTAATTTTTTAATTAAATTATAAGACTTTTAAAACTATTATAAAACGAAATAAAACCATATTATTTTATTAATAATTTTAATTATTAATTATTTATATTTATTTTAAAAAATAATCTTTTTAAAAAAATTAATAAAATAATTTATAAATAATATTATTTTTATTTTATATATTATTTTTTATTAATTTTTTTATTATATTTTTAAATTAATTTAAAATTTAAGAAAACGCATGTATTTATAAGCTCGCGTAAGCGTTTTCACGTGCTCGTAAACTCGCACGTGAGAATTTATCGAAAACATTAAATTTCTTTTTAATTTTTTTATCATTTATTAATAAATTACTTATTAATTACTTATTATTTCTTTATCATTTTTTTATCATTTTTTTATTAATTTCGCATAATAATTTCCAAGAGTTTTAACGTAAAAAATGTCTCCGACGGATTATAATATTTAAATTTTTTTAATATTAAATTTTTTAAATTTTTATATAATTTTAAATTTAATCGATTTAATTTTTTATTAATTTTTTATTATTAATTTTTTATAATATTTATTAATTTATTTAAAATTTAAATAATTTTTTAATTATTTTTTATTATAATAAATAATATAATATATTATTTTAAAATTATATAATTTTTAATATTATTTTATAATTTTATTAAAAGTAATATTAATTATATAATATGCTTATTATTACCCGTATAATATGTAAGGTATATACTTTATTTTCTTTTTTTTTTTTTTAACTTTTACTTTAATAGTTTTATAAATCTTTATTTAAATTAAATATAAATTATATTAAAATTTATATAATAAAATGGGTAAAAATACGGTTTAAGTTGCACGTGATTCGGCTCCGAATTGGTTGAAATATTAAAGAAGTAAGCATTTATGTATATAAAATGACTTTTTTATTAATACTTATTAATTTATTTTAATTTATTATATGAAAATAGTTATATTTTTACGAAATAAATAGGTAAACTTCTAGGTTTTTTTTTATAATATTAACTATTTAATTATTTAAATTTTAAGACTTTTCCGGGATTTATTAAAGCCATATTTGTAAAGTTATTAAAGATAAAAGGTGTGGTGGTTATAAAAGATATAATGGGCTTTTTATAAGATTAAACTGCGAACTTAATGTATTAAAATAATCTTTTAATAAATGTAATTTATTAAAAGATTTATATAAGTTAAAAAAGCTAAGGTTTAATTAATGATTAATCATATAAACGTGTTAACGTAAATTTAATAAAATAAAAGTTATTAAAAAAAGTTTTATTATAATTATTATAATTAAAATTTATATTTTTAACCGTATTCGAGTTAATATTAATTTAAATCACGTGTATTTTAAACCGTAATTTTCGTTATTTTTTTATTTAAATTATAATATAAATTATATATAAATTAAATTAAAATTTATAAAATTATTAAAAGTTAATTATAAAAAACGATTTTAAATTATTTAAAATTATATCTCGTATATTATACGGGTAATAATAAATATATTATATGATTAATGTTATTTTTTATTAAATAATATTATTAATAATATAATTTTATTATATATAAAATTTTAAATTTAAAATTTTAAAATAATATAATTTTTTATAAAATATATATAAAATTATTATAAAAATAAATTAAATTATTATATTTTATTTATTTATAATTTTTTATTTAATTTATTTATATAAAATAAGTTTTTAATTTTATAAAAATTAAAAGTTTTTTATTAATTATATTTATTAATTATTAAAATATTTTATTAATTATTTATATTTATATAATATTTTATTATAAAATTATAAATTTTAATATTTATTATAATATTTATTATAATTATTATATTATAATTAATATTAAAGTTAATTTTAAAGTAAAATTAAATAAATAATATAAAACGGGTTAAATAAATAATATATACCGTATAATTATATGAATAATAAAGTCGGTAAATATCGTATAAATATTATTTATATTTTTTATATAATTCATTTAATTACGTATATATTATTTATAATAACGTTGTTAAACTTATTATTTATTAAATTATTTATTAACTTTATATAATATAATTATTTAATTAATTAATTAATTAACTTTATATATATATATATATATATTTAAACTTTATTTTTAACTTTTTTACTTTATAATAATTATATATAACCGTATTAACTTTTAATAATTAATTAATTAACGTATATAACCGAGTAAAAGTAATATAATAAAACGTATAAACTTTATATTATAATTAAATTTAATTGATTAAATTAAATTAAATAAAAGGTTATATAAAAAAATGTAAAATAAAGTGCGAGATAAAAATATTATTAAACGGGCGGTGTAAAATTTAATTAATAAAAAAACGCGTATTTATTAAAAAGTAAAATGATTAAAACTTATTAAATAATATAAATATACATTAAAAAATTTATATAAAAGGCGAGGTATTTAACGGTATATAATAATCCCGTATATTATTTATTTAATTTATTTTATATTATTTATTTAACTTTATTTTAATTTTAATATAAAATATATATAATTTATTTAAATAATTAAATTAATAATTATTTTTTATATAAAAATATTATTTATAATAAAAATGTATTAATATTAATATTTTTAATTAATTTATTTAATATATTATTATTAATATAAAAAAATAATATTTATAAAAGTTTTAAATTAAAAATTAAAAAATCTTTTAAAAAAATAAAATAAAATTATAATTAATTAAAAAATAGTATAATTAAAAAAAATATTTTTTTTTAAACGATTTTTTAATTTTAATTTAAAGTTACTTAAAATAAAAAAGATATAAGGTCGAAAATTTAAACCGTGGTTAAAAAAGGTTATTATATAACCTGTGTAACCGCCCGGCGCGGCGAGGCTAAACGGCTACTTAAGGATTTAACCAATCAAATTAATTGCCTGGCTTATTCGTAAACTTAAAGCTATTATGCAAGCCAGCGGGGTTGCCTCCTATGAACCAGTTAAGAGATTTCCTCGCGATATGATCTACATATGTCACTGGTATTCTGGTCAGCCGCATTTATATTGTCATCATATACGATTATAGTATTTTAACCTTGGATCTTCACGGTCTTAAAACCGGCGGCTTTGACGTCGTCGAAAGTTGACGCGACCGCAGGTAGATTGTTCCAACTGCCTTCATTCGGGACTGCATCCATCGCATTTCCGAGATTTTAACTTGGATTCATGGCGGATATAAATTCAGTAGCGAAAATCGGCCGAAAGTCTCCCTTACAGGAAATAATAGCATTAAGCCTTCCGGGGCTACGTTAAAAAACAGCCCGGCCCGGGAGTGTCCATTTAATAAAATTAAATAATTTTTAAATGGGTTCTATGATTTTTACTCACGCACGGCTTAATATGCTGGAGTAAATAGTTGTGAAAACTTAAAAATTTTCAATGTGTAAGCAAATGCAAGTAAAAAGTTTACAAAAAATTAAGAACTTTCCAAGGACCGAACGCGGATCGAACGCGTGACCTTAGGATGATTGCTGAACTGCAATCCCACGCTCTACCACTGAGCTACCGGTCCTCCGAATTGATGAATATTTGCCCCATTATTCCACAATATATAGTTAACCACAACATAAAATTGTAGCTGTTTTGGTGGGTCTCTTTGGTTAAATCCACACGTAAAAAATTCCAATAGCAAGGTAAAGAAAACACTAGCATCCCTTATACTATATTTCATTGTTTAATTGATTAGTTTCCGACATGATATAATCATAGTAACTACCTAGAATCCCTCTGTGAAACTTGTACTAATCATCGAACTTAGGTACCTACCTTATCATACTAGACTGTGGCAACTGCTTCTATTAGGTCCCCAAAGGCCTTAACCATAGAGAAATATTGTGTTATACAAGAGGGCTTTAGCAACATTTGGTGCCCCAGGCCGCTCCTTGGAGGTCTTCATATTAAGCCAAAGAAAAGCAGCCCTAAGTGAAATCTCTCTCATGATAGCGGCAACCTATTTGACATCCATTTTAGTAACACTGCGTACAGCAGGATTATCTGGCAGCCATACCCATACTGAATAATATCCTCGTTGAAGTGACAACTCCTATCATCGAGTTTCGTTAGTAGCGATATGAAGTACCGTAATGGTGCGTGTCCTTCTTTAATATATTAATACTTTCCATCCGTCCACATTCTACCTATTATCTCCTTTCCCTTTCCCTTAATGTCCCTATTTTATTTTTCACTATTTCAAATACTCTCCTCGCTTATGACTGGGTTAACCGGTACGGGGTCCATCTTGGACCCCTAATGTTATCCTGCTTACCAATGTTTATGTCCTCGCCTCACAAATATTAATGTGCGTCTTCCTTCTATAATTCGTTGAGTAATTTAGAAACTGTCTGGGACGCAGGGTGATGTAAATCAATTTAAGCTTTAGCGGCAGCTGTGCTCGCCTACGTGCAGAGTGAGTGATAGGGGTTATTTGAGGACTTTTGCCGGCGACACAGAATCCACTCGGTATATTTGCCGGGCTGGGAAAGAATCTTACTTGCCACTTATTCCATGTGAAAATTAGATACCCATGTCACCGGCAAAATAATTATAGTAATGCGGATGAGACCTGGTTCCCCCATGGGGACGATCTATATCACTTTGCCTCCATTACAGTGTAGGCTTTCAACTACCGCGACATGCAGTATGTATAGGAATATATTAGTTCTAGTCAGATTGGGCGGGCAGAGAGATAAGTGGCTACACATGAGATTTCACGACTCTTTGAGTGCAGAACCGCACTTATAAGAGCTAACCGGGCACCGGGCTTTGAGATCTGCTTCGTTTGGTTCGCCTACTTCTGCACGTCTCTGCTGCCAAGGCAAATCACTCGCCGACATGAAGTCGTTCTCCATCGCACTCGCGCTCGCTGCGCCAGTCCATGCTGGTCTGCGCTTTGGATGCTCATCGTTGACCACCCAGCGTCTTGACCCTGTTGTCGAGCCTGGTAATAACCCTTCGGCCCATGTTCACCACATCGTAGGCGGAAACGCCTTCAACGCCACGATGACGGGCGATGTTGGCGCGAGGGCCACCTGCACCACCTGTGAGATGTCCGAGGACTTCTCAAACTACTGGACTGCTGTGTTATACTTCAAGCACCCGACCAACGGCAGCTATCACCGAGTTCCGGTGACCAACAATGCTGCTCTGGCACCTGGTACTAAGGGTGGTATGACTATCTACTATACACCGTACGACTTCTCTACCGACAACTTGAGGAACCAGCCCATCACGGCTTTCCCGCCGGTAAGTCTCCTGGATGACATGTCGCAGCTTATGATTTTAATAATTTGCAGGGTTTCCGCATGACGGTTGGCAGCCCGACAACCGACTCCCTCGAGCAGGCTAAGGGTCACATTGGTCTACGATACAACTGCCTGCAGACCACCCTCAACAGAGGTCCGGAGATGGTGGACTTCCCCGACAGGCCCTGCCCGGGCGGTATCTTCGCTGTCCACCACTTCCCAGCGTTAGTAATTCACTACCCTGAAACAGGTGCTTATAATAACAATGATCAGATGCTGGGATGGCAAGAACCTTGACAGCCCCGACCACCAGTCTCACATGTACAACACCATCAAGTATGACGGCTTCACGAATGCTCCGCCGTGTCCGGCATCGCACCCCGTCCGGATGCCCCAAGTAACTTACGAGACCGTCTGGGACACCACCAAGTTCAACAGCATGTGGCCTTCAGGAACTCCTAACCCATTCGTGTGGAGTTTCGAAGGAAGCAGTGGATACGGCACTCACGCTGACTACATGTTCGGCTGGAAAGGCGACTCGTTGCAGCGCGCCATGAACAAGTCCGAATGCTTCTATGATGGCTGCGGTTCCATCACGAAGCAAACCATGGCGGTGGCCAACCAGTGCACCGTCCCTGACATGGTCGGCGAGGAAACCGACGGATGTAAGTTTTGAATCACTCTAAGAACAATGCCTAGACACTGACCTGTTTATAGGGCTCGACCACCTTCCGGGTATGAAGATGTAAGAGGAGTATACCGATAAAGATTTCATAGGAAGCAGCGGCGACTCTCCGTGGTTCAAAGTAGAGGCTCGTTCGTTTCGTCTTATAAATCCATTGGGTCATGGCCAGCCTTGGTCGAGAGAGCCCATAGTTATTTAGAACCGGCGCCCCGCGTCATATGACCTGCAACACTCTTTTGATACATGATGCCATCAATGATACTTATGTGAATGCTGTAATATTGGCCACTTGTGTAGTTGAATCACGCGTTTAGAGCTAATACTCCGAGTGTCTTGGACGGGGCATCGCAGTTGGTGGAGACATGCACGACGGTTGAGATGTAAGAAGGATCATTCTATTGGAATATATTATCTGGTGAGCTTGTTTTACTAACTAGGGGTAAGTTCAAGACTTAGCGAATGAAGAGGCTTCTGGCTCTCAAGTTTCAAGCTATGAAAAATCGTAACTCATTCCAGTCTGATATGGAATTCCCGCCAACCACGGAATTAATAACACAGAAACATAGCCAAGTTAGGCCCTCGTGTTGAATCATCATAAGTGCTTACAGCTCAGCGGCTGAGAGGAAAATAGATAGGATGCCATCAATTAATTGTCATGAACAGCGGGGCCTTTTCCGCCATCCTCAAGTTCCTCTTCTCAATCGTCGTTCTCGACGTCATCATCCCTCTTTTTCTTCTGCTGGCGCAGGAAGGTTTTAAAGCCGCGGCTCATCTTGACTACAGCCCTTAGGTGCTTGTCAGTGACTGTGGCTCTATCCTTGTTATTCTCAAGTGCCTCAGTCTCCGCAAGCGCGACGGCCGTCTGAAGTGCGTTGCGAATCTCGCGGCCATTCCAACGCAGGCTCTGTACGTCATTGCTCTCATAAGCGTACTCGCGCATCGCTACGCTGATATGTACTTTACCATTGCTATCGTGTTCAAGTCGCTCAAAGCTGTTGAGCCAGATCTTCTCTCGGTCAGCCTCCGTCAGTGGCTTGTAGTGCAAGGCTACGTGGATACGTGACGTAAAGGCCGAATCAAACGTCTGTACTCGATTTGTCGTTAGGAATAATACTCCTCGGTGGTATTCAAGTGCTCGTAGGAAGACTGAAACCAGCTCATTCCGCGATATGTCCAATGTGTGTCGGGCCTCGAGGTACACATCGGCCTCATCGATCAGTACGATGGCACCATAGCGTTCACCTAGTTTCAGGAAATAATCGAGGCTCCTCTCTACCTAATCCACGATCTAGGGTTAGTAGATATTTTTATGAAGACGGATTTCTTTTTTGCTCGAAGTGGATATAGAAGGAAACATATAAACCACTGCCTTCGGCAACTCGCGGGTCTGACACTCTTTTATATGAGAATGAGAAAAATTGAATACTAACATTATAAGAATCGGTGTTAAGGTCACCGCTTGTGAGCGACAGCAGAGGACGGCAGGTGAGCTCTGCAACACATTCGGCAGTACAAGTCTTACCTACGCCTGGAGGTCCGTGGAGGAGGAAGATCCGGCCTTGACCCTTGTTCTTGACGAAGTCGTTTGGCCATGGACTGACCCGACCATGGGTACTGGCAAACCTGCCAATGAGTGACCGAACCGTAAGCTTTACCTCGTCATCTAACACGAGATGCTTGAAGGCTTCCATGTCAAACTCGACGTATTGAAGATTCTCAACGTTGAAGTAACCCCAGCGTCGATCCCGGAGTATGAATCCGGAGACGATCTTACTCAAGACTATATAGTAGAGGTCGATTTCTGGTGGCGAGTCGCTGGCTGGGTCGAGATCTTGGAATATAGCGAATGGGCTCAGAACATCCTTTGGATTTGCTTTAGTGCAAGCATTACAGGCGCATTTGGGGGCGAAATAAGGTAGTTGATCTTTGCGCGGCGGCGGGCGACTATGTGGGGGAGTGCGTGCTCGTGGCGAGCAGATATTTCCCCTCGGATGATCAAGGGAGTAGTGTGAGAACCCGATATTGTCAACAATAACACGGCCTTCCATGTAGCCTGTAGCGCTTGGATAATCCTGGTCGAAGCCAGGCTCCTTCTCAACGAGAAGCCCGTTATAAAGCATATGATTTGGTCCTTTTGAAAGTTCCCAGGCTCTCTTCCCGAGTAGAACTTGTTTGGCCATAGCTTCCTCGGGAGTGGCGTTACCATTTTCGCCCTGAAAGAAACGGGCGGGGATGACGGGAAGGTTTTTGATAACCTCCTCACCACTGAAGGGGTCGATATCAAACGCGCGCATGGTACGGCAGAGCTTTTCCGAAATATATGTAATATTCCAGCAGTGGACGATATATGGAGCGCTACTTTCGTTGACACATGGGCCACCGGTGACACTGGAAATAATGAACGGAGTCCACTGGCGGTCGTGTTTGGCATAAATGATATCTCCAGGCTTTAATATAACCCAGAGGTTGTCGAAAGTGGCCAAAGGTACTTTACTATTGTGTCTCTTCTCTTCTTCACGAATCCGGGTCCCCAACGTTTCCTCGAGAAAACCAAGGAGTACATCGATGTGCTTAGCAGTTGTATGGGCATATTCATCATCATGGGTCTCTGGTTGGTTGATCTTATAGCGAGCAAGTGCTGCTTGGTGATGGGCGAGCATGTGATATGGTGCGTTGATAGTAACAGTATCTCCGAGGAGGGACGTATTGGGATAATACTCTACCACAGCCCTCAGAGCATTGATTAGATGGATCGAATTGATGACCATAGACGTCTTTTCAACATTGACAATATTCACCCCAGGATTTTCATCATGTTCCCGTCCGCGAGCGTGGCGATGGGAATACTCATTATCCATGTCAGAGTCGAAGCCAGGATCCCACCGGTGACGACGTGAGTAAGGTATATGGCCAGCCTGCGGCCTATCCTTCTTATAGGAGGTAGTGACTTTGGTTACGATCTCGAGGATAGGCTTTCTTGTCGAAGCTCCCCCTCCGTCAATTTCATCTAGCTCGATGTTGATAGGCTCTCGACTACGACGCACTGTCGATCTTATCAGCAAGATTAGTTATAAGCTCTAGCAATGAGACGACTTGCAATTAACAAGCTTCCCACCAAATGCCTTGTACTGGAGCACATAACAGATATCTGGAACCTCATCCTCAGTAGTCTCTGTGGCTGCGCCACCACTGACGACTGATTTTGCAACGAGGGCTCTGAGTTTCTCAATATTCTTGTCCTCACTTAGCCCAAAGACTTTATCAGAGGGGCCAATCTCTTCGAAACTAGCAACGGAACTGTTTTCATCCATCTTGTGAATGTCTTTGGGGTGAAGAGGTTTGTGATATCAGAAAAATAGAATGTGAAAGGGAGCGGGGAATGCGTTGGCGGGAAGTTGTTTAATATATAACTTCCAACGCATTATAGCCTTGCCTAGGCACTTACTTAAGTAGCTACGTAGGCTACGGGTATTCCGTGATAAGCAGCCTGTTGCAAGGCAGTACCTAGTGCTGACCAGTCTGCCTAGGTAACTATGCGGGCTGTACCAATAGCAGCGTTAAACGGGTGAGACTGCGGCTGGGCTGTGAGACTCCAACAGGCAGCCCTACGTCAACCCGTCCAATAAGACACACCATGTCATGTAGATAACCAGCGGGGTTTTTAGCCAAGGCCTAGAACATCCCGCGGAAGTCCTTGAGTAGGACGTATGTAAGTAGCCGCAGGCTACAGCCAACATGATGGTATTGGATACCAATTATTGAATACGTATACATTAGTTATTCATGAGTTCTTCATGATACTCCTGCCCGAAAGAAAATTAAGATATACAAAAACCTATGTAGGAATTATACCGCTTGTCTTCATACTCTGTTCAAATATCTGTAGTGAAGCTTCCGGTTCTACACTCAAGTTAGCATTTTTTACTACTGTCGGTCGGGTTCGGGTCTAGTTGATTTAAACGTACGATAGAACGGCACATTATGCCCAGCTTCAAAAATACGCATAAAGGTTAAATTATCGAGGGACTTGAATGTTCCCTTTTGCGTTCCGTTGAGAGTATATGGTATCATGTCCTTGTTTGTGAACGCCTCCTTTCCGAGCCATTCAATTGAGTCTGCCACTCTTAGAGTCCCGAGCCAGTTAGAGACGTAGTCGGCGTCACCTGTCCAAACCACCACCCTGACACCTGCTTGCACGACAGCTGAGAGTTGGGTCATGAATGAGCGTGCATCTACCACTCTTATCAGTACCTCATGTAGTATATGTGAATATGGATAGTTATACCGTCACCTGAGTAGATGAAACCTGCGGCCCCGGCGTGATCCGAATAATTTACCTTTGCCCCAAGAGCTTCCTGTACGTCGAGTCTCTGCAAGTATGCAATATATGTCGAAGGGGCTCGTAATGATGGGTCGCGAATGTCGCCGAGATAAAATCCAGGATAGTCTTTGTTTAGAACGCCAAGTATTGGATATTCGATCTCATCCATATATGACTTCCATGCAGCAAAACAACCATCAGTCGTGCCGACATCTGCACATCTATCGAGCGCAGGCTTGCATTTTGTGTCGTACCGCGTCAGAAGCTCCTTATAGAAGGTCTCGTTAATGAGTTGTCTGTACGAATTATTGTACAAGTACTCAATGTTAGTCTTTTCTTGGATGGTAGCGTCGAACCACCCATTGCTGATACCTAGGGCTACTAAGCGGATCTCTTCGGCGTGAAGATTGCCTCGAGAAATTGCGATGTTCTGGTCCAAGATATAGCTCGCGAACTCGGGTCCATAATGACCACCGTATGACTCGGTGAATATACCAAAATCGCGATATTCATATTCAGGAAAACTTTCGTAAAAGGCTTGAAGTAGATTCCAGACTAACGGAGCAGCCGCCTTAGTCGAATTGACGGTGGCGTTACCATACGAGAATCCGACGCCTATTGGCTGGTCGATATAGAGCATGTTGGCGTAACTATTGAAACTGTACGGGTTCAAAGACGGTGATGTTTCGTTATTGACAAAATGACAAGGCCCATTTTGGGTGAAAAGCCCATATTCGGATGCATCCCCTGGTCCGCCCTCGAAATATGCTACAAGTGGTGCCTGTCGAGGATTCTCGCGAGCTTCGAAGAACCTTCGAGGATGTGTCAACTCTATTCCCTCAACGCTGAGGCTCGTATCATGTTAACCTACCAGAACCACATGTTCATGTCCTCACCCACCGAGAGGTACCCAGAGTACTGGTTAACGCCCGGGGTTGTTTCGCAGATGCCCGAGTTCTTTACAAATGACAATCTGGACTTCGTGGCGCTGTGCTCAAAAACATTGTACTTGACTCTATCCCGTGCCTCAAGGTATCGCCTGTCCGCAGTGCTTGGCGAGATTGGGCTGGCGATTGTCGACGCAGCCAGAAACGTTCCGACAGCCAGTTCAAGTATCCACCGCATCGCGAAAGATAGGGCATTTACCAATCGTGAATTCTATCAGCTAGATAGGAACAACTTCCTAGTATCAAGAGGGCATATAATACACGGTTCCATCGCGGCCTTTAAAGATTAAGCTTAAATGAGCTTCATGGGGCACGCCCACGAAGATCCTTCTTTTAATCCCAGACCCCGGCCATCAACATTGCATAGCCACATCATATCGACTCCCCCGGCACCCTGTCGGCAGGGCTGGAAATTAGACGGGATATTTGACCAGAATGATTTCTTTTTGCACATATGGATCCAGATAAACTAACACATAAGTTCTTTAAACCACTGAAACATCAATTTCTGGGGCAGCTTTGAGATGTATTCGATATGGGGAATTATAATAAATGGGGCGATCTATAGGCTTCAACAACGTGAGAGGTTTCCTAGCACTCGTTTCGTCCTCGTGGATAAGTTGGTATGATTTCGACCCGAGTTAGATTGAAAACTAAGTCTCTAACATTGCACAAACCAACATACTTGCCCTTCGACTGAATACTCTTTCTCTCTACCTCACTCCAATGTGTAAAATTATAACGCTAGGCTGCCAGGTATTATGTTCTGGAGACTAGAATAGGGGCTAATCTATATTGGATAGAAGCATAGCCAAATTCAAATACAGACATATTACTATTGAGCACTTCGGTAGATATTTCAGATACCTTGCTGTGATCCGAGTTATACGGATTTAAGACTTCGGTAAATGTTATGAACTGATCCCCGATATGGGTCTTGGCATTCGGAGCCGAACTTCTTGATAACGTTAGTCTTGTTCAGGGCTCAGCAGAACAGCATCTCTTTTCCACGTTTCGCGTCCCGGCTTTCCCTTTTCTCACTTCTGTTCAAGTATCGTTCTATTTATCTTCTTGAAATATATTAGAACAGGGATTATGTTCAAAAGAGAGGCCCGAGATGGAGATGTTGAAGAGTTGCGACTCATGCAAGGCACGAAAAGTGCGATGTAATGGTAAGTCTCCCACACGTATAAGTCAATAACCACTACCGTGAAATCGGTAACTTGAGGCTCAAGCCAATCCACAGGGTACCCCGGCCCTTGTAATCACTGCGTTGTAAGTAGCTCGGCCATGATGTCTTGAGACCACTGGTCTTTGCTAATGCCCCGCGAAGCGCCGAAAGGCACAGTGCCATTTCAGTCGTAGGAAAATGCCCCAAAGACGAAATGGTAAGTAGAGTACTATTATTATAAGAGGCTACTTAGGATTATATGGTTTGTTAAGGTCAATAATAGTAAACGTCGTCCTCACATCTCCCGCGTCACCAAAAACCCAGCCCCCAAGTGCGGCTCAAGTCGCTAAAAACGTAAAGTCCTACCCCAATATAGCGGCGCTTGATAGAATCGGGACTGACTTATACTAAAGCCTCGGCGACCTTTGCCCGAGCTGTACGTCGACCGTATATTAGCCACAGCTGGAACGGCTAGAGCTCTCGGAAACGAAAAACCATTCGCAGTTAAAGTACACTCTTCTTAACCTCCGTTATACCAACTACTCTACTAAATGCACCAGGGAATCGGACTAGTCAGCACGTTGTGACCGCTCCTACCAAGTTGATAAATTGCTAATAATACCCAGTCGGAAACGCCAGCTTGACTTTCTTCTCCGATAATCGATTATCATACTTATCCTCCCGCCTAAGGAATGATAAAGTAAACCGACTAATCCAGAGAATATCTTCTGTGATTGCTTCTCGACTGCAACATCATGGTAAGCATAGATGGCGGCTTAAACAGCTCAATAGAGAAGCTGATTTATATTAACAGCAAATGTAGCGACTCCGGGTTCTCTGTGTGGTATACGAGGGGATCAGAAAGATGCTCTTGTATTTCCTAATACGGCTGAGGCAAATGCCCACATCAAATGTTATTTTCCCTTGATCTCTAATTAGTCAACGCAGTCTGTCTAACTCTCCGATAGTATACTTTGAGCGGGTCCATCCCGTCTACCCCTTCCTGGATCAGAAAGACTTCGAAGCTATGGCTCACGCCCCTTACTTTGCTGATCGTTTAGCGCATAGCAAAGCACTATACGCTCTATATAACGCGGTCGTCGCCTTGGGATGCCAGGCTGGGAGTGGAGGAAAATTCGAACCGGGTAAGGGGAGGGCCTGGCAGTATATGACAAGGGCACTTGCCGTCCTGCCAGACCTATTTTCGCTACCAGATTCTCTAGATGTTCTCCAGGCAATGACTGCCTTGACTATATATTCTCTCAGGTGTGTGATTCGGCTGGTAGCGTTGGTGATACAGATGTGTCGCCATCAGAACCCCCCGAAGCGTTTGCCGCTGACTCCAAATTTTGCAGCATATCATGTATAGCAATAGAGCACTTCATATTATCTGAAGCTGCAAGGAGAGCGCAGAACCTCGGGCGCGCCAATTTAAGGGGCAAGGCGAGGGTTGCGTACCATAGGGCATTTTGGCTTCTTTATACCGTTGAGAAGATAATTAACTTTCACTTTGGGAGGAATTCCGTATGTCGATTCCGCATCGCTATATTCACTTATCCAATTTGAAGAGCGGGTTTTCTGACATAAACCGAACGGCTATAGATATTCGTCGATCATGACATCGTGATCCCAATCCCATCCGTGCCCGACGCGATTGTGGGGGAGCTCGATTGGTTTCTCACAACTGCGAGATACGCGCGTTTGTTGTCGAAAGCTATGACGTCTCTGTTCTCTATTGCCGGTACTGAGAACCCTAAAACTTATTACCTAGCTATAATCGACCAATGCGAGACCGAGTTAGAGGAATGGCGGATGTCGATACCAGCTAATATCCGACCGAGTGAACCGTACCGGACGCACACGTTACAGGGTATGTTGCATCGAACAACTGCTCTTGGGATCCATTTACTATACAATAGTTTTAAATTGAGCCTTTGCCGAGCGACACTGTACTTGGCTGCAAACACTAGTCGTGTTGTAAGCCAGGCCCGCCAGGCTGAGAGCACGAGAAATATGATGGAGACATCGCGGTCCGTGTTAGAGTTGACGGCCTTCATTGATGTGGAACCAAACACACCACTATGGTAAATTCGACAGATTGGCCTTATATATTCCTCTTCTCTAACTCCTTAGCAATAGGATACTAGCTGGTATTCCAATTGTCGCTCTCTTCGTACTATTTGATTTAGTGGTTACAAACCCAAAACACGCCGAGACGGCAACAAATCTAGCTCTTCTTGACATGGGTGGCGGCCACTTCAGTAGGCTTGAGTATGCGAGTGGTGGTGGCCTCCCTGGCTCATTGATTGGCGAGTTTGCACATATTGCTCGCGAGTATGTGAATACCATAAAGAGAGAGGGCATATCGAATCAGATTGTTGATAAACAGTCACACGTATTGACGAAACCGCCAACCGAGACATCAAGATCTCTTGGTAGAACCGAGCAACCACCTCGTGAGAACGGTATCTCTCATGTATTAGATCCATCTCCAAACGTCGAGTCAGAGCAGGTGAGCATTGATCTTGTTTAACACCTAAATTACCCACAATTAATAGTAAACAGGTACCAGAACATATTTTCGACGGCGATGCATCCTTACCAATCGATGATGCCCTATTCTTCCCAATTAATGACGGATACTTTGAAATGGACGATGAAGTCCCTCTCGGTACCGATATCATGGATCTTTTTAACTCAGCCATGCCGGGTATAGATCCGTACTATAACCTAATGATAGGTGGCGATCCTCAAGGTTAGGGTGTTTTGAGTAGGAAGTAAAGGGGCGGAGTTGGGTCGATTTAACGACGAAGAGGTCAGGTTTTACGTATATTATATATTGAGTTTATTGTATGGTAAGGTTGCTCCTGTTTTGTAGCATTAATAATTGTGTATTAGAACAAGAGATTCTAGGAGTTAGGGAAGTCCCGCTGCTCTTGTTACAGAGTTGCGCGTTAAAGCTTAGGGGCGATAAAATTTACGAGTTAAATAACATATAAGAGATGTTCTTTGGCAAAATAAGCTACAAATCTACAAAATTGTATTCCGAATGATAAGATGTGTCCCATCTTACATTTTACTTGAGCAGATCTAAACATTTCGAGATGAGAATAGTAGACTTTATGATTATGAAACTATCATAATATCTGAGCATGCTTTAAGACACAATATATCAAGCGCTAACTGAAAATTTAAACAAGGCCTGGTGTATATATTTGGAATAGTTGGGTTGCCAAAGGTAATTGTTAAGAATGGACCATGATACCCTTAAGATGTAAAGCTTACTTACAATATAACCATTTATGCCAATTTTCCCTTTAGAAAGTGTCAGAGAGAACCCTTGATGTATGTCATACGTAGAGTGAATGTTAGAAGCAGCAGCGAAGCTGCTGTATAGTAGCCGTATGGTAGTATGAATATATTAACGCTTGACCTTCCATCCTCTTGCGAGGGGCGCTCCACGCCCCTTATACATATACCTATCATACGCTGATTTATACTTAATTCATACTAGCTCCCTTTATACCCTGACAGAAAGGCAAATAGCACCAAGCTCTTAATAAGTCACCATTATTAACAGAGGATATCACAGTCTCCTTAAAGTTGAAGAGATGATATTTCATTATAGATAAAAGCAAATTCCCAGGCACTTTTTAAAAAGTATGTACCTAGGAACTCTATCGTTAACGTACTCTAGGCCTAGCTAGTTAATACTCAACTCGATAACAAAGCAAGACAGCAAAAGAGCTTTCTATTGTGGTAACTCAGCCCGCTGTTTTTCATGCAGTAAATCCACACAATAATGTTCTATTCAGAGAAATAACCCCCCTCAAAAAATAAGAGCCGGTAAGTAATTAACTATCAGGTTTGTCCCATATCCCTGTATTTGACTTCGACTGGCATTTTAGTAGCGATTAGATGTGCTTGTATCCATGCTACTTAATATATTCCATATTTATTTGAGATACTAGTATATTTTCTTATATGAAACGGTTCCTGACAAAATCTGCAAGAACGTTTAGTACACACTACTCAATTTCGTGCAGAAACACTCTTTGCCTATAACATTTTTCTATGCAACTAAACTAACTTTTAGGATCCATGTTATGTACATCAACTGCGTCAAAATTCTGTTGGTGAGCTCAACCGCAGACTAATACCGTAAACGATTGTGTATATCTGTTGCCTCTTGCTGGTGTTGAGCTACATAAGCATAATCCTTTTTACTCTGTTGTTTACAGTTAAAAACTTGGGTTTACTTTTCATACCAGCAATAAACGGAGCCAATTCCTTGTCCCTTGGTGAGCATTTTCCTTCCTAGCCTCTCCCATTATTATCAGAATACATTTCTATAATAGAAGCTGCTTACGCTTGCCACTTCACATCGGATGTCAAAGGATTTCCTATGTCATCTGAGTCTAGACAACGGTAATGGTAGTATGTTACTATTTTCACAAGGCTCGTTTGCCTCTCATCCTCTAGCACTTCTACCTCTGGCATCTACGCACCTTGCCTACTACCAACCTTGTCAACACCCAAGACGTCCCCCGTAGATATGTTCTAGATTAGTAGAGTATCCCGTAGCCTAAGGCCAAGTTGATATGAATCGTCTCGATCGTCTTGACCGTCTTGACCTACCCGGCGTCAGGGCCAAGCGGCCGAGAAAGACGTCGCCAACGCACACACTGACCATGTCACATGTACACATTAGGACATTGTATCATCCCGCTTTGCGTACATAGCTGAAGTATCTCCTACAGTCCTTCTAAAATTAACCCTAGTTACCTGCTACTTCCTTCTGGGGTTTCAACTTTGGTCGTCACACAACCTCAACATCTTCTTTCCCTCTGCCTACATACCTGACCTATTTCCCAGTTGTTATTCTCAAAACTTCGTCTGAAGGAAACAACTCGCACTCCTTTTCCTCGAGATCTTCGTCCTTAAAGATCACGGAATAGTAGCGATTTGTTCCCTATTGCGTCTATATCTACTTATTTCCTTTAATAATTATTTTCGAAACTCCAACCTACCCTTGGGCATTACGCATCTTTTGCGTACACGACCTGCTTCTAGCAATTCTTATTTCAAAGTTACGCTTTAGTAACATAAACTTCTTTTCCTATTGGAACTTCACTATTGGATGTTACACAATATCTCTTTCCAACATCCCACGAAGAGCAAGCACACCACGGTCACGTTTTATTCTCCTTTACATACGCGCCAGTCTTGTTCATCAAAAGCCCTATTTGAAAGCTCCATCTTAGCTCTATTCCCGGAGCCTAATCATTGAACACCACACAGAATCTCTCCCTTCCAGACTGTCATCCTTAGAGGACACATACCTGCATTTTTGTTCCACTTTGGGTTATTTCTGACCCCCGAACGAGATGGCTTCGAACGAATCACCAGAGGCGGTTCTGAGAGACATGATGATGGAAGGACTTGGACAGTTTAAGCAGATGGCCATCGCTATTCGCGGGACGGCCGGTGAAGACGATGCCTCTCAGGTTATCGATAAATTTAAGTCCGACATGCTTAAGGCGTTCGGTGAACTTGTTGATGACAACATGGAGGCCATCAAAGCCGCCATGAAGAAGCAGCTTGCTGGCAATGGAAGCAAAGATGAGACTAAGAAGCAGTTGGATGTTGCGGCACCCCAGGTTCGCAAGCGCCCTGCCAGCGCCCTGGAACCCCAGGACCACGTCCGAAAGGGTAAGCTAAACTATACTTCTACATCAACCCAATATCTTAATCTCTTACTAATTCTATACTTTTTAGCGCCCCGCCGTGCTCTTTTTCCAGGCCCTCATCATCAAGAACCGGCTCGCCCGGCGTCCGCACGCGGTTATACCGCGCAGCTTCGGCCCGTACGCCCCAAGGAGGTCATAGTCATTTCGGATGACGACTACGAAGACAATGAAGGGGAAGAAGCTCCCGTCAAAGCTAGACGTAAATCTGAACGTACTTTGTCACGAGCTGTCAATTACAACGTGGCTGGTTACTACAAGGAGCGTGGCTTGCCCGATGCTTAAAAGGAAATACCTACGGCTGACTATCAAGCATGTGAACGAATGATGGTCTGAAAGGACTATAAGTATGATCATATGAGTGTTACTGCTCCAGGTCTGGTTGTTTTCGTTCTGGCAGGATGCGGGGCTTGTTTTGTGTTTGCGTGGATCGATGTGAGTAGGGTTGCGATGATTTGTGAGGCCTACGGGCTGAGAGGCGACCATAGTAGTCGTTCGCGTTGACTGGGTACTATATTAACCTAGTCAGTTCTGCCGAAAATCTCTTAGAAGTCAAGCTTTAATCGAATGAAAGTAGCATGCATACTTCGACGTTACTTCCTTATGCCCTTGCTCTATTGCCGTAATATGTACGAATACCTATAATACCTATAATTCTGTATCCCCTTATCTAGCCTACATGCAGCGTCCGCAAGTCACGTATGCTCCATGCTATGTGTAATCAACATCCAATAAGCCGTGGGACTAAAGAGCCTCGAACTCCGAGGTTCATAAACACCCACCTACTGCCTACTCGCCGATCCCGTAACTTCTAACCCGGCTGAAGAAGAAGGGCTTTCCATTCTTGAGCGGGAACTCTGCCCAGTCGTCTGTCTGCCTGTTGTAGCTCCAGAAACCCTTCCAGGTTAGCCTGTTGTTGTTATTCCTATTTATGGCTGATATCTTGCCTGTGCCTCGGAACGTAAGCTCCATGCGGTACATGTATTTCCCTACACCCTCTGTCTCGACATACAGGTCACCTTCCGCGTTGACTAGACTCGTCCCTGCATTAGTATTGTTGGTGTTGTCATTATTCTTATCCGCTGATGAGGATAAGCGCCAGCGCCCTTTTAGCGCGGATCCCATGACGGCGGAAGGTAGGTAATGGGGCCCAGAGCCACCGCGGTGCAAGGCCACATTATCTCGTGTAAGGTGGTGCACAACATGAGCAGGCTCGTCGGTGGTCAGTAGGCTGATGGCGGTGCCGTCGCGGAATAGCCGTAGGTACCGATAGTAGGTTACGATGTGAACAGGACTATTCCACGTAACCTGGTGCGCTGACGCCTGTCCCGGGCGGATATAGTTCACCGTGCTGATGTAGCATCCATTAAATCGCACCCTTGGACGCCGGCGGAACATTGTCTTCCAGGATGATGCGTAGGGCCCACGAAGTAACAGGTTAGTTGTTGCTCGACTCTCCTCTTGTCGTTGACGTGCCAGTTCCTCTAGAGTAAATACGTCATTGGAGTCGGCCAGTTCCTGTGTTATGTCTAGAGGCTCCCAGCTGATACCCCTTTGCCAATGGTAGTGCATTCCACCGAAACCAAATTCGTGACCCAAGCACACCCGTCGCCAGATTTGATCCTCGGTAGCTACCAAGTAAGCTAACCTCTTACAGACCCGGGCTAAACGCACGAAATCACCCACATCTGCGACCGCGACGTCTCGCAGGATATGGACGAGGATCTCGTCGGGCAGCACAGAAATGGGGCATGGAGGCGCTGCTACGCCTTCGCATTCTGGTGGTGCTCCCTCAATTTTAAGGCTGGAGAAGCTGGTGATGAGGTCTGGTAGGGACAATGCGAGTGCTCCATCATCTAGGGAGTGATGGGCAGTGTTGGGAACGGTTACAGGGGTGTGAGATGGGTTGATTTGACCCGGCTTTATCCAACGGCCTGGGAAGTGCTTATTACGGTAGGACTGGTCCACATTGTCGTCCATGCGGAAGGCCTTTCGATAGAGTTGTAGACTATCGCCGAGTTTACCGGTCGCCTCCCTCTCGACGGCTTTTTCGTAGAAGTCTAAGGCGGTCTGGGGCTCGTGATCTCTATCCTTAGTAGAGTCTTCATCGTGACGGCCGAGCTTCTGCCCTATTACGGATTTACTAGTATCTGGCTCATCGAAATGCTGGGGTTGATAGTATTCATCCTCATCTTCTACTTGATGGATAGTCTTTGAAGTTGATTTTCTATGCGTAAACTCATTTCTCCTCGGAGGCCTATTAGTTGTTATAGTTGAAGAGGATCCCGGCTGGTTAGGGACTGTCCTCTGCTGCTGTTGAGAGCTAGCAGTATTTCTTGATCGAGCCGAGACTTCGGCTCGCCATTGTTCTCTAAAGCTCTCTAGCTCCGATTGTATCTGCTGGGTCGGTTGGTCCATACTGGCAAACTATGGTCACAATTCTATGGATATGAATTTTAATGTACAGTGCTTAATTATGAATGGTAATTAGCGTAAAATCTGGCGTATCGTAAGTATTTTCTGTGTGGGTATTTGGGTATTAGAGAATGATTATGCATCTAGTGAGGATGGGGATTTTGAGGTGATTCGTGGAATATCGGATGAAGTTAAAAGTCGGCCTCTTGTAACGTTGAGGTACAATACAATGAGGTGCTCCGGCGTGACGGACTAGAGCTGCGCGGGATGCATTATCTAAATCCATCTTATCGCCGAACGAGTCATACTGGTTGTAGAGGGGTCCTAGTGGAGTAGTTGATCGCTAGCTCAAGACGATCCGATTGGGTTTGACATCATGGATAAGACGATAAGGGACCGTGCGTTATCTTTATCGAGAGCGGTTCTCGATTTCCGCTGCGTCGATTTGGAGTACCTAGCTCGGGTCCGGCCTAGGACCGGTAAATTCTCTTTAAAAAGATTTGTCTTGCCATTTTGTTCTTATGTATTTATTAATGACGCGAAGAAAACCGCCTCCCCTAATCTGGCCACTCACAATTTACGACGAAATACCTACGTAAGAAATCCTACATAGCAATACAATATCTTTACTACCCACTCGCTCCCCACGATATCGAGACGTCTTTTCTCTTCTTACGATAGATTGAGCTATCAGAAAGGGCGCCCCCGGCATAACCGGGGCCAGCGCATATAAAAAATGGCATCTAATCATAGCTTCGCTGGCCACAACCATGACCGACTAGGAGGAGGAGAAGACGCTTTTGCGGGCCAAACGATGGTTTCGTCCCAAGATGACGGTAACGACGGGGTGGATATCTCAGCGGGGCAGAAGATGCTTTCTGCCATTACCGGTAGTCTTCTCACATCGCTTCTGGGTAAGCTTTTCTTCATGTCACCTTAGATACAGGGCTATAAGCTGATATTATTCTGTACAGTCACTCCTCTGGACGTCGTCCGTGTCCGACTGCAATCGCAAGGTTCGTCGCAACCCATTGCAGACTTCCAGAGACTTGCAATTTCGTCACCCAATGCTTTTCGACCGTCGAATCTTGGAGTTACAGCGTGTTGCCGAGAGGTGTTCTTTTTGAATAACAATGCCGAAGTATGCGTCGCCGGTCCGCTTGAGAGCATATCTGCATCTGGGGAATGCGCCGTGGAGGAGGTACAGAAGAGGCGATTCAACTCGACTTTTGACGGTATGAAGAAGATTGCTCGCCACGAGGGCCTCACGACGTTATGGAGAGGTTTATCGCCGACGTTAGCTATGACCGTGCCCGCGAACATTATCTACTTCACCGGTTATGATTGGCTACGATATAGCAAGACAAGCCCAGTCAGCAAAATGACTAGGGAAGAATATGCGCCCATGGTAGCCGGCGCATCCGCACGAGTTGTTGCAGTTGCTGCGGTCAGCCCAATCGATCTATTCCGAACCCGACTACAAGCATCACCGGGCTCGACCGCAGCTGGCCATTTAGCAAATACTTTCAAGGGACTCCGAGAGATGGTGGCCGACAAGGGTTATAGCTCTCTGTGGAGAGGTTTAACTTTAACTCTCTGGCGAGACGTCCCCTTTTCGGCTATGTATTGGTTTGGCTACGAGACGATCAGAGGTAAGCTTACCGATGCGCGAGAAGAACGACGTGGTAGGCACTCGACTCGAGAGAACGATGGTTCAAGAGCGCGGCGGAGAACTAGGTCACAGAGCAGGGAGAGTCACGCAGCGACTTTCATGGACAGTTTTACTGCCGGCTGCCTTTCTGGTGCCTTTGCATCGACGATAACGATGCCATTCGATGTAGGTAAAACCCGACGGCAGGTTTATAAAGACACGTCGAACAAGGCTTTGCCCTCAGTGGAGAAGGCTGCAGAACCGGAAGCTCAACACATGCTTCGCCTCCTCTCGCACATCTATTCGACGGAAGGACTGGCAGGACTCTGGAGAGGATGGCTGCCTCGTACGCTCAAAGTTGCGCCGTCTTGCGCTATAATGATCAGCAGTTACGAGGTTGGTAAGAGAGCGTTTAGGAGCATTAATGAACGTAAAGCTCGGAAACACCACGAAGGTCGAGTTGACGAGCCTTGACATGTAGCATCACCCTTCTCCCCTCATTTCTGGATTTGCATTAGCAGGCGTTGATTAGAGTTATGATACCTTGCTTAGAGGCCAAAAGGAACCGGGACCACAAAATAGGGACGGTTGGACGGTTTGGTTTAATCACACGATATTCACTTAAGAGACGACTGCATAAATCGGAGCGGCCCCTAATGATGATTTGTATATTATTTACGGAAGTTAAAGGGGGAAAAGAAGAGGAAAGAAAAGAAAATAAAAGAAAAGAAGCAAAAGAGGCGATAGATCGATCATTACTCACAACTCGACACCGAAGCGTTTGATGAGCCTTTAGACAAATTAATACGATGATAATTCTGACGATCATTATGAATTATGTAGGTTGTGCTTGGACCTTTACTTCCTTTATTACACGTCATTTCTAGGACTTTTTGAGGCCCTGAACCTTGCGCATCGTAATCGCACAAGCCACTTTACGCGTGAAGAAAATCGCGTTAAGTGCCAAAAGGGGTTTCGCGTCTTGGAGACGCGTCGAGACTTGAAAATCCCCATTTAACATAGAATCTTGGACCTTTCCAATGTCAGCTTTTTTACAATTCAATTGTTCACTTTATTATACGCTTGCACGTCTGATTTGACCAAATCGTCAGAATTCCGACGTTTGTTATTTATTTGCATAAGAATTGTATTAGACTGATCCATTCCGAGGAAAAAAAAAGAAAGCTTTCACGGTGTCGTGTCTACGTCATTCAAGACACCTTCCGACTTGGAATATAGGTCACTTCTTAACTCGGCCTCGACCTCGTCTACGTATACACTTATACTATACAATGTCTTCCACAAAGCGCAAGAGCGAAGGTCTCACATCCGGTGATGCCAACAAGAAGCCTAAGGTGAACGCGAGCATAACATCGTTCTTCGGTGCACCTAAGAGCTCGCCCACCTCGTCCCCCGCGAAGTTTAGTGCGGGCCCCGAGTCGGCGCCCCTCAAGTTTGACAAGGACAAGTGGGTCGCGGGCCTAACGCCAGAGCAGAAGCGCCACCTCCAGCTTGAGATCCAGACCTTGGATCCTAGCTGGCTGGTTCACCTCAGAGAAGAGATTACTTCTCCCGAGTTCATTGAGCTCAAGAAGTTTCTTGAGAGTGAGGTTAAGGCCAATAAGAAGGTGTTCCCACCTAGGGAAGATGTCTACTCATGGTATGCCGATGTTGTATCTCTTCTTATGCTCTACCTACCTTCATCCTATAATGCTGCATACTCGATACGGAGAATTAAACTAACGTCGCCCCATCAGGTCTCGCCACACACCTTTCAACACAGTCAAGTGCGTGATCCTAGGCCAAGACCCCTACCACAATGTCAACCAAGCGCATGGCCTAGCCTTCTCCGTCCGGCCTCCAACCAAGGCTCCCCCTTCCCTCAAAAACATGTACATCGCGTTAAAGAAGGACTACCCGGACTTCGTGCCCCCGCCCAACGGCGGCGGTCTGCTAACCCCTTGGGCAGAGCGTGGTGTACTTATGCTTAATACATGTCTTACTGTGCGTGCGCACGAGGCTTATTCTCACGCGAACCGCGGTTGGGAGCGCTTCACGCAGAAAGTCATTGACTTGGTGGCGCAGAAGCGCACTCGTGGTGTCGTGTTCCTGGCCTGGGGCAATCCTGCCGCGAAGCGAGTTAGTAAGGTCGACACTAAGCGCCACCTCGTGTTGAAGAGCGTGCACCCAAGTCCGCTGAGTGCCTCGAAAGGGTTCTTCGACTGCGGGCATTTCAAACAGGCTAATGAGTGGCTTGCGAATAGGTATGGTGAGGACGGCATTATCGATTGGAATCTTAACCCTAGCGAGAAGAAGCCAGAGGAAGCGCGGAAAGAAGTTTCGCCACCTGTAGTAGCTGTGGGAAAAGTGGATGAGGAGAAGGGCGAGGAGGAGAGTAAAATCCTTCAGGAGCAGGGTGAAGAGGGCAAAGAGGGCAAAGAAGATAAAGATACGGCAAGTGATGCTGAATCGAAGTGAGTTTATTTTCACAAATTGTGCATGATGCGGGTTAGGGATATAGGGTGTCCGAATATGTCCTTTTCTAGTCGTATAGGTTTACTGGTCGGCGTTCTATGTGGTTTATAGGCGCCTGGGCTGGCGTATGCTCGTAGTATATCGAGATTGTATAAGGTTGAGAAAAAAAAAAAAAAGCCCTTCGGGAAGAGGCGGCGCATGTGAATAATACCTAGTTTGTTTAAGTTATGAACTGTGCACCTCGGTAGATAATAGCATGCTTTGCATCTGTGATAGTCGGTATTGCTATAATCGCCGTCTGTTTCATCGCCTACTCGAGCAACATGGCCTATCAGTTGAGCGCACTCGAAACATGGCGAGTAATGAGCCCATCTTTGTTGAAGTAGTATAATCGGTTAGCTAAGATATTGTGCAATAAGATGACAAAATGTTTATTGTGATAGGTTTGACGAATCGTCGAATACCCGCCTAGAACACCGTCTAACCTAGGAACATGCAATTGCTCGACCCTAGAAGCGAAATGAAGGGTTCGCTTCTCAAAACGAATCTCATCTAACGCTACAATGAACTACGTAAGTAATTATGATGGCGTTCGCAGACATCATGCCACTAGTACTATAGATAAAATGGCGGTAACTATGCTGGATCCGTTAAACGCAATCTGCTCATAAGCGAGCGATCCAGTAATCTAAGATTGAGATCGAAACCGAGATATGAAGGGTACTTACACAGGTATGAGCTATGGCAATGGCACCATAGCATCTTGGTGCATAAACGGGATCTGCGACGACGTTTCGCTGTGATGCTTCATAGCCTAGGTAGCTTGCAAGGCTTATCTAAATGGATATGTCATCATCTGGATATGTCATCATCGGTATTAAGCTCGATCGAGGCCGTTGAAGAATTGTCTCGGGAACCGGAAATGGAGACCTGGCTACCCCACCGTAGACTACCGTTACATGCCGCAGTTGTACATAACGAGGTACGTATGTAGTCTGTTTGTTTCATTTCTACATAGGGATTGCTGCAAGGGAGATTCCGCTAATAGATAAGTGCTAGATCTTTTAAATTTTATTTATTGATTTTTTTATATTTTTTTATAAAATACCAAAGATAGAGGCAGGTAATCAGTCAGCTAGGTAGCCCGTTCTCTCTCATGTTCTTGCGAATGTGATGTGTCTGTCGTGTAAGTATGGCCGCTGGGATAATCGTGGTTGTGGAGTGCTTCGTGAATAATATATAACATCCAGATAACATGTGCATAAGCCCGAGATCCCACGCTAGTCATGCAGGTCCCTTCATCCCCTACATAGATTCATTGAATGTTCTATGCAAGGCGAGCCACACACCTGCACAAGTATGTTGTACATCGGAACTGTTCAGATAAATTGTCGACAGGTACACACACTTGGTTTAGTGGCGTTTTCCAGAGTCAGCTTCTTAAGTAAGAGGCTCAAGCAGACCTAAGTTTCAAGGACCTGGAAGCCCCACGCTCCTCGCCGTAATTTTGCATTACCTACATACTTTTTTTCTGACCTAAGAAAATCGTACAACCAGGCAGAGAGAGGGACGGCTCGAGGAAAGGGAGATTGCAACATACTATGTATGTAGTATCCGGCCAATGTCTCGCACGAAACCCCTTGGAAGCCCAATGCGCAGTCATTGGACGCGAAAAGTCGCGATCGGTGTAAGACACGCTTAATCCAATAGCATTAGCGTTTCTATACCAATAGCTCGCAGCTACATAGTAACTCTCCGAATCAGGCTTCTCCTGTTAGGGGGTGACCTCAACACAATTGCCAACTCATCTAAACCCTAGCCTATAAGAAGCGACCGACCGAACTGGGTCCAACGGGTTTCGTGAATTAATTGGCTTCGGATTCCGAGTGATGAGTTGTGCTCATGCAAGGTCGACGCCCTTTTAAAGAATGATCTGGGCGAGGAGGAAAGGGGCGCGATAATGTCTTGGCGCTTCGCTCCAAATGATCTATCCCGGTGATCGGTGACAGTCAAGACGACAACCAGGACATAGTAAACCAGGAAAATTATCTTTCCGATGTTCATTATTCCTGTTGTTTTCATATAACATGTTACACAGCACGAAAACGGCTACAAACAGAACCAAATCCAGATTAAATATAGCTTCAAACGATGGAAAGGAACGTTTAGGTAACCATGCATTGGATGAATTTGGTCAATGGTGACATCGGAGGTGGCATTTGAAATAGAACTGCCGATGGTGTTCCGATAATGCTCAGCCCCGTCTGTTCAAATCTCACGTTGCAGGAGACGAATCGAGCTGCTGCCGATCGAACCCAGGCCAGGTAGTATTTCGTTTCACGGCCGCCATAATAGATGCCCATAGCAACATAATGGAAGACGCTTCTCAAGAGATACGCTGGAAGTGAAGCTATCGTCAAAATAGATTTGGTACAACACTTGCTGTTTGGGCCGATGTTGGATGGTTCGAGTTTGAGCTGACAGCTAATTTACCAATGACTTGGTAACTCACCCGGTCTAGTCAGAAAACTACGGTCCTGGTTTTCGTGCTAGTGAGGCAAACATGGAAGTTCGCAGGTCACCCAAGCGGAAGAGAGATATAGCGGGACCTATGGGCTTTTGACGCGGGCGAGCCCACTTGATGTATCTGTGTTGTAGATTCATGACATGGATATAAATTCCATGTGAGATGTGAGGTTGGAAGAAGTGGTCTACATACATACTAACTATGTAGGTTCTAGGTTCGGGTTGCTACATCTCGCCAATAACGATGGCTTTTTCGGGGAAGACACTTACTTGGTAAAGTCTGACCGGGTGCCGCCTGATTACCACTTCCCGCCCTGTAATTAAATTAGAGTTCTTGGGTGAGAACGCGACCTGAACTTATAAAGTATTCTCAGCCGCGCTTAGGCGGGAAAGTGACTTCTAGATACTTGCGTTCTTGCGTTCTTGTTTAACACAGAAAATCTAACGGTGCCTTGACCACGTTGGCCAACGCAACCCCTGCTGCACCTTCTCCACGCATGCCGGACACGTACTGGGCCATCCAATTACAGCTCTGGACCTTAACGGCGCCTACCTGGTGGGCTACCACTAGAAGAGCTAAAATAATATCCTACAATGCTGCTATGCCTAGAATAGGTAGTCTAAGCAAGCGCGCTAATGTACATTTACCAAGCTTGGAGGTGCGGGTGTACTAACTATCAAAGGTAGATTTTGGGGCAGTAGCGAGGACGATTTCCTTGATCCGTCATTTATGGGAACCTCGTCGAAGTCTGGACCGCCCCTTAATATTATTATTTTTCTCCCCTTGGCGATTGGAACTTTTTTGAACTCTACCATGCGTGCATCTTGATACCCTTCGTTTTGCCGCTTCACGCATATTCGTGAACGCTTCAATTCTAATCGTTTGATCTTTCATTACTCTTTTTCTTTTTTTTTTTCGCCATTCTGTCGAGGTGTGGTACCCTCCTATTGATTCATACCCTGGAGCTGGGGTTTTTTTCCCACCGGTAAAGAATATCTCAAAAACATACCTGGTTCGAATGCGTCGAGCTCCGTTGGCAAATACCGTTCGATAATATTACTTGATACCCAACCCCCACTCTGTTGGCGCAACTCGGACAAGTCTTCCTTTACAAACATTTTATGCGTTAGCCCGCATCATAATTCGACTATCAAAATACCCACTTGTCTATATCCAACGTTCTCGAACTTAGATTTACGTGGTGTTGTGAACGGAAACATATTTTCCCATCTAGACGGGTACCTCGAGCCTACCAATCACCATGCCGAGCCTCTTCTCTCGAATAAGGGGCAAAGATGGCGCGAAGTCTAAGAAAAACGGCAACCTAGCTGATTTAGCAAACCAATTGCCTGACAAGCCGCGCTGGGAAGATGCGTATACGCGAACAACAGTAGAGCCCGAGGAGGTCCAAGAATTAGTAACGCGCTGCACGGAGGAAGTTAAAGCTAGGGGTACGAATAACTAGCAGAAGAATCCTATCTTACTTGAGCTAGTATAAGCTAATCCGTTCGCGACGCGTAGCTCTCGATCTTCCGTTTCTCCTTCTCCCATTCCGACCGACTTCTGATCCTAGCGCCGTGCGCACCTTCATCCGCCACTTTTTCAACGATGAGCAGAACCTACGCGGTGAAGCCCTCGTACAGGAGCTACGGATGACAGAGCCTATGGTGTGTCCTGCTAACTAGAACGATGCATGCTATTTTAAGAAATTCTCATTAACAAATCCAGGTCATATCGGGTGTCCTAAAATGGGTATGGAGCAGATTGCCGGGCGGCATTGTGGGCTGGGATGCCTACGAGCTTTTCAGAGTTGGAGAGCAAGGTACGACCTATATCTACTGAGTACGTGTGTAAAAATAGAATGCTAAGGAATAACTTATGATTTAGATTCGAATATGGCCCGCGATTCCTTCTCTACCTTTATTCCGTTGAGCGTCGAGAATCAGGCACGATCACATATCATATTTGACTACTTCGATTTACTCTCAGCCATCGCAGCTCATGGTAAGTCGAATGGCTTCGGCGGTCGTAAACTGTCTCGCATGGCAGCTTGGTGGGCCTTCGAACACAAGGATACTGGGAATGGTTTCGACGGAGGGTATAAGTCATGGCTGAGGTTTGCATACCCCCAAGCCCCAAAATTAAGATCGGTTCGCTAATAAATCCCAGTGCCGCGGATGCGACGAGCCATCTGTTTTTCGCCTATCTCAGATCCTTATCACCCCAGCAGGCTCGCGCAGGTATTTCCATGCTCCCTATGTCCTTGCAAAAGTTGCTGCAGGAAACCGAGTATCCCCCACAGGCGCCGTCATTATTGATGTCATCAACGTACAGGGTCGTCATGATTGTCGATACTGTGTCGTCTACGCCGTTTGCGCTTTTGCGCCGTGCTAATCATTTCCAATACCGCGATGAGGACCAAGCTCTTCGAGAGTTTTCTGAATACGAGGATCCCGTGAAGGCCCTAACCGAGGAGTGCCGCAGAGTTCTTAAGGCGATATCTCTTGCGAATCAGTCTCAAGTTTCTAGCTCGAAGCACTCTACTGGTCTACGAGATGCGTCATGGTCGCGATTCGAAGATATCGGCTTTGGAGGCGCTCTGGAGGAAGAGGACGAAGACTCGGACTCACTTAAACTTAGCCAAACTCGAAATCCCCGTGGACTACGGACTACCCCCGCGTCGGGCGCGAACCTTGGCAGACCAACTACTCCATCCTGGGCAGACTTCCTATCGTCCGGTTTTGTCGATGACGCACCGAATAGCCCCTCGAACCTCCTACTACCCCCTGATAAGATTCTGCCCCCCATCGAGACAACTGTTAGGCAGCGTAGCTCGCAATCGCACCGCCCACGTCTAGAGAGCGACCGTCAGCTAGAGCCTGGCGAATTAGCCAGTATCAGTCGATTCGACTTGGACGAGGCGTTCTGGTGGGTGTGGATGAGCAGCTTGGCGCCCGAAGAGACTGCAGAACGTAAGTCGGCATTTGGTAGGTGTTCTGTTCTTGAGACAGTTATTCGTCAAGGCAGGTGGCTCGTGATGGAGGAGATGGTTAAGGGTGCAGCCCCGGAGCCCGATGCCGGCGCGTATATCGCGGAGAAGAAAGGCCTTTTCAGCTGGACAAGGCGTAACAGAGGAGTTTCCCGAAGCAAGTCAACTGCTAAGTCAAGTAGCGCCAAGAATGATCGTTTGAACCCTGGTGGTGGTGCCGGCGCTGGCCTAAGCAAGACCAGCATCGGACCCGACCAGCAAGCCAAGATCCAGGCAGCGGCGCAAAAATTGCAGGCCAAACAGCTTCAAGAGCAGCAGGCCGGCCCCAAGGCAGAACGACGCGGGCGTACGGATACCGAGGTGATGAGAGAGAAAACTCAAAGCATCCTTACCCTGCAACCAGGCGTCGTAAATGTAGCCTCGCCGGCCATGAAATGGGCCAGTAAGTACGACAAGGAAACTATCCGCGCAGCATATCTCGGCAACTCGTTCGCTGGACGTGGTGTATCACAGACGTCGCTTCAGATGCCTAGCCATCCTCCTGGAACGAATGGGCTCACGGAAAATGGCGATAGTCCCAAACCGGACGTCCAGGAACACCCGCTGTCTCCTATTTCAGTTCATTCTCAGCCTGAACCTGAGCCAAAAACCCCGGTAACGCCCAAACCTGCTTCGGTTCCGGCTCCCGTTCCGGAAAAGAAGCTTGCGGCTCCGCAACCGATTCATCCGGCTCAGCGATCGGAACAAACCGGTCGAGAATCGCCTTTGCCTCCTACTCCGCGTGAAGGGAAGAGCGTAGAAGCAGCCCGCGAGACTATACTTTCCCCTGAACCAAGTAGTCCCGAGGGCAAGAAGCATAAGAGACTTCATAAGGAAGACAAAAAGTCCAAGTCGAGCGGTTTCAAGAAGCTATTTGGCCGAAATAAGAACCGCCAATCCAAGCTACCCGAGAATGCTGCCGCAGATGTGAACAGCATGCTAGCGGCGCAACCTCAGACCCCGGTACCGGCGGCTCAACCACCTACGTCCCCGGAACCAGTTGCATCTCCGGATCTCGAAGCTTCCGTAGAACGAACCGAAGAAAAGACGCCGACGCAAACTCCAGTAACGCCGATGCGTCCCGGACAAGGATATGAGCCATCAATCGACGACAATCTATCTCGTGTCGATACTGCCGATGCCGCAGAAGCTCACACCGAGTTCTCCCGCTTCGATCAGGGCCCTCTCCTAGACCAGCCTGCCTTTATCCCCGATGATGATCAAAGTGTCGATTCTGCCGCGCCGCCACCTATTGCCAGACATTCTAGCCGCCACCCTGCCCTAGATGACGATGATGACGACGATACAGGAGCTCCATCACCAAGTGTGCCTATGCAAGACCGATGGGCCGCCATTAGAAAGAATGCCGCCGAGCGGGTCGCTCGACCAAGCGAAGAGCAAAGCCGGGGTGCATACAGTAAGACGACGGACGACGGCGACGAAACCAGCGGCGAAGAGAGTAAGCACCCTAATTTTTTTTTTCTCTTTGCGTAGTAATCCAATCGCTAACGTATAGCAGCAATTGAGTCCCGTGTAGCTCGAATTAAGGCTCGTGTCGCTGAACTAACAGGTAACATGGAGGGTGGCAGCGGCCCCGTAACTCCCTCCGGTCGCCGCTAGGAGCGGCGTTTTAGATGACGACTTGGCTACGATACAAACGGATATCTGCATTATGAATTCGCCTGCATCTGCACGCCTGGAGTTCCTTCGGACACGCTCTCCGCTTTAGTTGTGCTCGGTATACCAAGGCCGATTATTCATTAATATCTAGCATTAAGCACTTTTCTTATTTCGATGATACCATTAGAACATGCTCATCCCATGTTTTTTTCGCAGCCATAAGCAGACGAGGAGGATTTAGTTTTACTAATTTGAACTTTGACGTCCAACGTACAAACACGGTTGGAATTTTCCAAAATCAGCCACTATTCGGTTTCTTACGAAAATCGCTTCAAGGCGACAGTAACCCTGGATGTAAGAGCGCATAGCTTGGCTATGGACCGGACATTTTCTTGGGTTGCTGTTGCATCTGGCGTGGAAAAATTACAAAGCACTACAACGGACTAATCCTTTTTTTCGGTTGTTTTTCTGGCTTCCGAGGTGAAGAGTAATGAGACGACGAGGGGTGGGAGATACCCATTCGCGCGCGCGGAATAGGAAGAGGGGAGGAGGAGCTTGGAAGATACCTTGGTGCTTACTTTGTTCGAGGAAGCACCCGACTCGTCTTTTTTTTTTCTTTTTTTTTTCTCGTTGATTTCTTCGATGGCAAATCTTTTTGGTCAGCTGGATTTTTCGGTGTAGGCAATAGGCCACCAAAGTTAACTAGCAGATTATTATCTTCTCTCCAGATGTGAACAAGCAGCCAGTCAGCCAGCGTCCGAAGGCGAGGCGCGAGGCTCTATTCCGGAGCTAGGCGCTGGACGCTGGGCTTTAAATACCGTTTTCGGTAGATATGGATCATCTCAATAAAACATTGTGTGAACCCGATACGGAGTTTCTCGCTGGTGGAATTATTTGATAGTGATATTGTGAATGCTTGGTGTATGCGTAAGTTGACTAGTTTGATAAAGGGGTGTCCGTCCAACTTGTCCTATTCTATTCAATTGTAGTTATAGCATAGTTGATGGTAATTACGACCTATTCCGGATGTCAACTCGTCATCTTACTTCGTCCTCTGACTTCTAACTAGGGCGTACAGACCTAAATGCTCAGTATAGTATACTCCATCGTGAGATATATCCGTGTTAGATCAAATACCTACCCGCGCCACGTCTATACTCCGGCTAAGCGAAAGCCTAGTCGCGGTCGCAGTCCCGGCCCGGCCCGGCCCTCGACCTCGGACTTGGCACGGCCTGTACAAAGCATAGCCATCTGATCTGCTTAGCCTTTACTCCGTTTACCCGGTTTACCTATCTGCCTCGTGAGGAGATCAGACGCTTTCCTCGGCGCAAATACGGATAAATAGATCAATACGAAGTGCTAAGCTGGGCAAGCCACAGCTAACCGGTGGACAAGTAATACAAGATCCTAATTCATCTCGCCATCTCGCTCTTCGTGAGCCGCGCGTCTGCGCCTATTTGCCTACATAGCCCGCCGGCCTAGTACAACGCGACCCCGACCCTGAACCATAACAGCCCTAGCCAGCTAATCAGCCCTACGACCCAAGCTACGCCTTACCTCCCCACTCACGGACGCTATAGTTCGATCCCCGGGTGCACGACATTACACCCCAGGACTATACATCTCTATCGTCTACTATTCAGCTGGCTTACACAGGCAGTGAGGACGACGGCATGCAATGCAGGTCTGAGACAACGCGGAATGGAACCGCATGATAGTTCCGTAGTAGGTAGTTATTGGTGTGCTGCCATGGACTCGGCGACTTGGCCTTCGTGATGCATGCATATGTACGGGTACGGACATTGTATGTATACCTACATTCGCAAGGTGATACGGGGGAAATATCGTTGTTAAGTGTTAAGGGGTGGGGGCTGTTTCTCTCTCGTCCCATCTTTACGGATAGAAAGAGTGTAGAGATTGAGGACAGGAAATCCTATAGTATCCTAATCTACATATTCACTTCATCCTCTACGCACGAAACCCCGAAGGAAGCACAGACAGACCGAAAAGAAAGAACGTAAACAAACCTGCATAACTACCGTACGTAACTAGGTACCTAAGATTTACGTCCGTAACGAACACAGCCTGTTACTCAGCTCGCCGACCAAGGGGATACCTATATACATTCAAGCCCTACCAGCCCTGCCAGCCCTAACTCCCGCGCCGGTAAGCCACCATGTCATGTCTGACCTGTAGGATCTAGCGACCTTTCCGAATCCTGCATTTACGATGCCGATATCTTCTTATTGGTCGACATCTGCCGGCTCTTCATCTGAACTATCCAAGGCATTTTAGTTGGTAGTATCGAGCCTTTGGTAGTTGAGGTAAATCGGTAAGATGGGATGATCGACATCATCTGAGTTTCTCAAACTGTTACTATTACGCCCCTTTTCTATGTACGTAGTAATAATGTAAACCACCAAATCACAAACATCACAGTAGAACAATGAAAAAAAAGAAAAAAAAAGGGAGGGAGGGGGGCAAGAATCAAGGTCAACGCGAGTCTCATTCAGGATCTGGTAACATGCCCAATCCGCCGCTGGTATCTCTAACAAAGAATCCTAGGTAAATCAATCAAACTGCAATAGTGTACAAGCTGTAAGTTCCCACCAGCCCCAACGCCGTCCACATGTTTCGTCTCTCACGCGCAAGTTTCCCGTCTCCAACTTTTTTCCCGCGTAGAAAATGCGATATCAAGACAGCAAAGTCGCACCACAGAAGTTCCCATTACTCATTCGTCATGCCCGTCTCTCTAAAACAGCGGGTAAAGCTGTATTGTCGTATGGTTATAATGGTTTTGGTAAAAGGGGCGAAAATCTTCAATCAGTTGCAAAAGTGACCATGAAACGCCCCTGAGCGCCACGCCATGCCGTAGAAGTGAAGCAAAATGCAATTGCATGGCGTCAAGCATAAACGAGCGAATTCGCCACGGGTCGAAGTCGAAGCTGGCAAGTGCCGGGTAAAAGGCGGAATAAAATAAACGAGGTATCCAGAAATCCAGTGCGGATCCAGTTATGAATGCCCGTCGATGCTCTCTAAAATGTTGTACAGTTGCGACTCGAGTCGCCATATAAATACGAATTAAACCGAAACGGGATAAATATATAACTGACCAGAAGGCCTCAGAGTTGGCATCATAACGGTGTACTACTAGCCGTCAACCTTTATTCTCTTGAGCTCGCCGCCTTCTGGTCCGTCCGAACCGTGATTGGCCGTTATATCCGGGCTCTTCCGCTTCGTAGAGCTCAGTCCGGTATCGTCCCTTAGAAAGGAAGGACCCGAACCAACCACCGGCGTAGCAAAATTTAGAGGACTCGGAAGCGTGTTGCTATCAGTACCTCGGAAGTTCCATTCCGGATAGAAACTGCTGGGACTGGGCAAGAATTCATTGTTAAGGAACCTTGATGGGAGCGCTGATACGGGCGTGTCGATGTTCATACTGTTGTTTTGAGTTTGAGGGTGGGGTCTAGCAAATGGATTTGGCGGGCCGGTGGCTCCCGCAGATAGCATGGCCGATGCTGATGGCGAAGGAGGGGGGAGAACTACCCCGGTCCCGGGGCCTTCTAAACCGTTCCGACGCGTTGCTTGCGTAGCCGTGTCCGTGGTAGTGCGGGGTGAAGTAGCCGTATCACCACCAGCTGTGCTACCGTTGTCAGACTGCTCCTCAGGGATCTGGACCTTTAGACGGGGGCGCGCTCCGCCGCCGACCTTTAGGCTGTTCGAGCGAGAGGGAGGGGTGAATGTAGTCTCGGGAATCGTAGGAATAGAATTGCGAGAATGGCTCAAGTTAGAAGTGTTAGAGCGCTGGGGAAGAGGAGGGGATGAATCGGGTTTGGATCGCGAAACAGCGCCTACGTCTACCGACTGCGATCGGTTTCCATCATCTTTTGTCCGGGGTTCCGCGTTGAACGAGGCCATGTGCTGAGACAAAATCGATCGGTTCTCGTCGATCGGAGTGAAGATGCTATGCTGCTTACGCGCCGGCATTTTCTTGATCGCAGACACAGTGTCTAATAGTGGTTGGCTAGATCGCTCCTGGGGCGGCTCGTGCTTCGGTTCCATAGGCGCAGGAGGTTGTTGTGGTTCCGCCGCGTGCTGATGCTGGTGCTGGTGCTGCGGAGGCTCTAGATGCTGAGGGGGTGGTTGTGGAGACGTGCGAGGAGCTTGCTGCGGCGGTAGCTGGTGAGTAGGCTGCGGCGGAGAAGGACGCGGAGGTTGCGGAGGTCCCTGCTGAGGATAGCTAGGAGGTACGGACGATCGGCGCTGATCTTCCATATACTGCTGGACTTGGACAAGCGGCTGAGCATTGCTGTATTGGTACTGGGCTGGGGCTGGCGGCGGGATTCCGTGCTGGTAAGTAGATTGGCTCTGTGGGTTGTAGATAGCTGGCTGAGGCATATACGCGTATCCATTAGTAACTGGCTGGGGAGGTCCCGGTTGAGGGACTCGCAGGTCGCGGCGGGGATCATTTCGAGAGGACGGCCTAGACACGATTTGCGGTTGCGGTGTGTGACCCCGAGGTGCGAATGGCATTCCGTTAACGGGAGGCGAAGGGCAGGGAGTATGATGCCTCAAATGTTGGAAATGATGCTGGCCTTGGAAATGGGGAGGAATCATCTGGGGTTCGACAGAGCCTTCGTGGCCATGTGGGGGTGTGCCTTCACCATCTTCGTCGTCGTCGTCATCGCCGCCGTTGAAATCGTGCGGTCCTTTATGTTCGTTCGGAACACCATGCTATCCCTTTGTCAATCATATTGCCCCCTCAAAATTTGCGGGGACGGATGAAACCAACATATGAGTATCTTGTGATCAGATCTCTCATGTCGCTCGAAGAGTACTCGTAAAGCTTCTTATTGCTGCCAAAGATAATCACGGCGACATCGACGGAGCAGAGCACGGAGAGCTCATGCGCCTTCTTGAAAAGACCACCCTTTCGCTTCAGGAACGTGCTATAGGACAGATATGTTAGCCATTGAAAACGGACGCGGTTGGAAAAGTCGAGGGACTCGGATCGCAGAAGGGTAGCTTACACAGAGCGGTTTCTGTCGTCCTTGATGGCTTTGATCTCAATCTTTCTCCGCCCCATCTTGTCGACTGTAAATCTGAGGTATATTGAAGAAAGAAAGAAATATAGATTATAGAAATGTGAAAGGGACAAAGTAGGTAAGCGATAAGGCTTCGCCTCCCAATTGCCGCAGGATTTTTAACTCTGACGGGTATGGATTCCTCGAGTCTGTTGGCAATAACTACGCGACTGGTAGTAATATAAAATATATTTGCCCATCCAAGGCCCGGTCCGCGAGGAAAGAAAGTTATGGTTATTTCTGACAAGCAGAGACCAGCGGAGAGGAAGGTTTCAGGCTAGTATATACTGGACTAGAAGTGTATGGTACCGGGCTGGACAATTTGTGTCGAGCGATGACTTAATCTGACGTGAAAGGGCTGAAGGGCTGTAGTATGTAGTCGAGTGGATGTTGGCCGAGTGGATGATGGAGTGAGTGGATATGGCGAGTTAGATATAGAGGGTTAGGAGGAATAGCCGGGTTCCAATATTTGAAACGGGTCGGCGGTGGTTTATGGATGGTTCTTGTCGAACGGGTTTATCCACGGGAGAGGAGGTGGAGGAGCTGTGGTAGAAGTATCTTTCTGAACTCTGGCTTCTTTAGACACGTTCTTGGGGATGGTGTAT